ACCTTCCTGGTGCTGTGGTAACGAGGAGCGCTTCTACAGCAGAACATGGGACTGGTCACTGCTGACACTGTCTGCCTGGCCAGAGTGCCGTGGCAGGCCCCACCAAGACATGTGCAAACCAGAGGGACTAAACCCAGTACCTGAAGCGCAGTGTAGCCTCTCCTAGCTATGGGTAAGGGAGTTGTCCTATTGGGCAGTGGTTTTCAAACCCTCCCCACTAGAACTTCAAACCGACTGTTCTCTTCTCTAGTTAGCCATGGCAAATGGCTCTACAGCCATTCTTGTGTTCAGTTACACGTTCTCTCCCGCATTCTTCCACAAGTCTCTTCTGTCACTAAACTTTGAGAACAGAAAAACTGAGTTCTGAATTCTGATAAACTTTTACTTCTTTAAGAATGAAAGAACCGGGACCGGAGGATAGCACAGTGGAGAGGGCATTTGCTTTGCATACAGTCAACCTGGATTCAAGCCTGGCAACCCATATGGTGCCCTGATCACCGCCAGGAGTCATTCCTGAGTGCAGAGCCAGGAGTAACCTGAGTATCACTGGGTGTGACCCAAAAAGCCAAAAAAAAAAAAGAAATACTTGAGAGACTCATAAATAAATCTCGAAAGAGATTAACAGGCTTCAGAGATGCCTCCAGACCCTGCGCCAGGCTGTCTCATATCTGGGGCACCTTGGGGGGTGGGGGGCGGCTTAGCCCTCACCTACCCTAATAGAGCCCTGGGAGCCAAAAACCTCCAGAACCCAATCACCGCCATGTTCACGGCCAGACTCCACAGACTCAGGATGAGCCTCATTCAGGAATGAATCTGTTGAAAACTTCAGGGATGTGGGTTTTTGTGCCAAAATCTCCAGGCTCTCACAGAGTCAGTGATGGGCGACCTCCGCCTATGCCCTTGCTCTTCAGGGAGCCTGGTGGTGATCCCCATGAACTGTCTCTAGCACCATACAATCTCATTAAACAGCCATGATCCAGACACTTATAAATAAATCTCAAAAGAGATCCACAAGTGACAGAGATGTTTTTGCACCCGAAAGTCACCATGAGTTAAATTGTGACTCTATCTGTAGCATACCATCCAAAATTTTAGAATTCCTGAAGCGACACCTCATACTCTACACCACTGGTATCTAAGAGTAGCACATCACATTGGATGGGATGAAAAGTAGACGGCAACCAATGTTGATTAAGAAAGTATCAGCACACAAGGCTTAACCTGTAACGATATGTTAGTAATCTCCTATACAAGGGCTAAATGGCTCTAGGTGAGATACAACAATCTTCACATACTTTCTTTAAAGAAAATCTTTTTTACAAATCATTTTTAGTGAATTGTACAAAATAAATTATTTAGGGCCTGCTATTGCAGCAGCCCTGGGTGGTGGTTGGGAAAATTGGAAATAATGGTGGTGGGAAGGTGTAATGGTGGTGAGACTGGAATACTGGATGTAATAAGTCACTGTGAAAAAAATTTATAAAAATAAAATAAAATTTAAAAAAAGAATAAAAGAACTTGGGTGTCTATATTATATACATAGAATCTTTGCCAAGAATTTCCTTTTTTTGGTGGGGGGCACATCCAGTGATGTTCAGGGGTTACTCCTGGTTCTATGCTCAAGAATTACTCCTGATCGTGCCTGGGAGAATGTATGGGATGCTGGGGATGGAACCAGGGTACCCTAATAGTTTTACTAGCACTCTGGCCTTCACCAAGAATTTTCTTAACCCCATCCCCATCTCACTGTAGGGTAACCAGAATATTCCTAGATATCAGACCTCTGCTCAGTATCCTTGAATGGTTTCCCAATGCAACTGAAGTGAGACCCAAACCCTTCATTGTGGTGTACAAGGCTGTACATGTGGCTTTACCCTCTGCTCAGGAGTCTCTACTAGAACACTTGCATCTAGGCTGGGGATGAGCCTCAAGGGTTAAGTACAAATCCTGCCAGCATGAAACCTGCGTTTCCCAGCAATAAAGGAAGTAATGGCTGAATGAATGAATAAATGAATAATCATCTGTCTCCTCCCAGACCTGCTTCCTTTCTGGCCCCCTGAATGTCAAGCTCACTTGGTATCTATTTGGTATCTATTTTCCACTCACAGAGGATCTGGTATTAGCTGTCCCCTTACTCTAGATCTTCTGCATGGCTGGCTTTACTCCATATCTCACATCTCAGTCAAGTGTTACCAGCTCAGCGATGCCTTTTCTGATCACTGACCAGCCATCCTTTTATGCTGCTCTACTTCTTTATGCAGTCACTGCCCTCCACAACTCTCCTGTGTATATACTCACACTTTCTCAAGACCTGTCCTCAGCCACACCCTACAATGAGCATCTGTGATAGCAGGAACTGTCTTACTCACCACTGTCCAAACACTGTTGCCCTCCCTTTCATCCCCACATAGATTCTCCCATTAAAAGAATAGGCCTGAAAACTGGCATTCGATATGTTAATTGTACAGTGGAGATGTCAAAAAAATTATTGTCACAGACCAAGTGAATGAGTAATGCTCTAGAACTGACCAGACTGTCCCCTTTCCTCTCCTACTGCATTATGAGCAGCCTCACAGACTGGATTGAGAGCCAATGGACTTCATTTATACAGGACCACATGTAATTCTGCTAAGGTAGTAAAATTATTCAAGCTTTTATGATTAAGCAAGTTGGTGATTTAAAAAAAAAAGACTGACAGACTACCTTCCATAGTTCCTTGCATATACGGATACAGAAATGGAAAGGAGACTGATTCTAAAATGTGCAAAGACTTCTAGATATCAGACCTCTAGAGAGCTTCTAGAGGCCTAATGGCTTTCTCATTGCATTCGCAAGACATCAAATTTGCCCTTTTCGTTAACATGTACTAGTGAAGCCAAGTCATAAGAGGAAAACAACTGGCCATATATGTGTGCTACACACATTACTTACAATAAAGATACACAGAAACAACAAAGAACATAGCTTCTAATACAAGAAATAAGACTCACATAGTGAGACAGAAATCTGTGAGATAAGTAACCATAATAGGCCCTTCAGGCTCCATCCTGTTAGGCTGTGCTTTCCAATATTAATTTTCTACCTACAGGTCTGTTTTTCCCGTTGAGCTTTAATAGCTCTGGTTACTCCTTGTCTGTTATTTACCAATCAAGCCACATGGCCTGGCCTCAGACTATGGTCTACAGTATGCTCACTGCTATTTAAGGTAACAGCTGAGACCTTGACTATGATCCTTGATAGCCATATCAAGCTGGAGCTGTCAAGCTTTCTCAGGTAATTGCCTTGGACTTTTAAAAAGACATGCCTTTTTGACTAGGTTGGCAATTTCTACTGTGCACTTTGATTTTAATGAGATAAGATTTACTGCCACCTAGTCCCTAAACAAGTTAAATGATTGAAAAAAAAACTTTATTTTATTTTATGCAACGCAATATTTAGTGCCTCCAGTTAATACAATTGACACTGTATCAAGACAATATTAAGGATGTACTATCTTATGAAATCACATGTATAAAATCGCATACAGCTATAATATTGTATAGCTGTAAACACTGCCAAAACATTATCCCAGACATGTGAAATAGATTACCTGTAATATTTTGTTACCATTGGGTTAACTGGCAAACGTAAATTTATCAAGATAGTCCCATATTTTCATCTCCCAATATGCTATCGTCGTAACTGGGATTTTGATGCACTCTGAACCCCTTAAGAGTCTTCTAAGTTATTTTCATTTAAAAATAGAATATTTCATTTGCTAGTTATTATATTAATATATAAGCTTAATATAGCTTAATGATGTCATGCCCATGTTCATGTCATCTGATTATTCAGAGCTTGAGACCTAGAAAGAAATAAGTATCACAGAGCAACAGATCTTCACACTGTAGTAGATTTAATAGGGGTTTAAACAGAAGTGGGAAAGATGGGAAAATTCCTAAAATGTTTGAGAACAGACAACTGGATAAAGAAACTATGGTACATCTACACAATGGAACACTACTCAGCTAATAAGGAAAAATGAAGTCATGAAATTTGTTTATAAATGGTACAACATTTTTACTATGTACCTCATGGTGATTCAATTAAAAACACATTTTTTAAAAAAAGATTTGAGTCATGAAGACACCCAGGACTGCTAGTAACTGGCTCATTCTATTTCCCACTGATTAATCTAACTTGACTTGAACTTACATAAGAGTTCATGGCTAACGAATGAATCTATGTAACCGACTACTACTACTTACTCGTTGATCTACGGAATTTCTGTGAGCTACTTACTATTTACCCATCTTACATAAAGGAACATGAGGGCAAAAGGAGACCATGGAGAGTACTTTGACCAAGATTATAGCATATGCTAGCTAGCATTTGCCCCAGACTTGTCTAATGCAGATTCCTTCCAATTGTCATGACTCAGAAAGTTGAATATAAATTTATGAAATTCAATATAAAAATTTTTTTGATATTTACTATGTGTTAAGAAATCACTTTTTTATGTGACAATACTGAAAAGATTGAGAGAAGAGGTTGTCTGTAGACATGAATGTCAAAATGAAGTAAACTAAGGAGGTTAAAATAATAATTGTGATTTAAGAAGATGGTTATAATGGATTCAAATATAAAAATTATCTCATAAAGAGATAATTTTTCTAACAATATCAATGTTGTCTTTATAATATAACCTCAGTAAGAACATAAAACTTGAAATAATTGACAGAAATTGAAAAACTCATTACATATTATTTTAAGATAATTATAAATATTTTAATTTATTTTGAAAAAACACATAAATTTATATTTTATGAACATAAAATAATCATTACTTTCTAAATTAAGTATAAATAACTTTATTGTTAACACACATAGAATATTGTGTTAAGATTCTATTAATCTTAATATTGCATTAAGATTCCTGTGTAGCTTTAGTATCGGCTAAATCACAAGGAAATAAAACCAATCTGAGTTACTGAAAGCAATTTGTAAATAGATCTACATACGTTCTTTTGACATCCTGTTCAATCATTGTTCGTAGTTCTTTATCTTGGAAGAATTTGTTCCAAAGACTCTATGAAAAGAGAACAAAGCATTTAAAATAATTTAAGCATTTCAAATAATTTTACACCTTTGCTTATATTGATCTTAGTGGATCACTTCAATGATTAAATTTATCTTCTCTGGCTTATTACATAATGCAGATAGGAAACAAGATTGGAATAATTTTCATTAAAGTCTAAATTAATTTCAAAAGATCTTTATTCTAAAATCATTTTCCAGTGATATTATTATATATATTTAAATTTTCCCATTTATCTATCAAAAGTGAGTTAATACTTTTATTTTTGTACATGCACTGTAAACTCTAGGAAAGAAAAAAGTCTACTATTTAGAGAAGGGTCATAGGTCAACTGGTTAATAACGGGAATCTGATCTAAATTTCAAATGCACTAAGGACGACATGGGATATTTTCTAAGAAGCAAGCTTTTATAAGTGAATAGGAATTTATGTATGTTAAACCTGAATTTAGGTAAAAATTTTTAATTACTCAACAATATTTTATGCTGCTATATCAGACAATATATATGTCAGAAAGAGGCTTGGGTGTAGCTTAGTAGCAGAGCACTTGCCTTGGACATCTGAGGAACCAGAATTGCCACTCAAGCTCTACCAAATAAAAAATATCTACATACTGACACATATTTGCATCATATAAAACCTATCAATTAGAAAAAAAATCGTTAGGAAAATTGGAATTACAGCTGCAATGGCAATAGTCCTCCAAAGCAGTAAATATTCCTAGTCTTCACGGGGAATATGAGTTAACTCTAGTTAAATATTTTCCTGATTAATGCCCTGCCACAGAGGCAGGGTGGGATGGGGGGATGAGGGTGGAAGGGATACTGGGATGCATGGTGGTGGAAAATGGGCACTGGTGGAGGAATGGGTATTTGATCATTGTATAAGCAAAACCCAAGCACAAAAATTTGTAAGTCTACAACTGTACCTCATGGTGTTTCACTAATAAAAATATAAAAATAAAAAATAAAAAATATTTTCCTGATTTTCATTTGGTAGTCATCATAATTCTTAATGGCGCCCACCAGGACAAACCTAAAATATTTTTTATCTGCCTTTAAACTTCGTCATAAACTCTAAACAAATAGTTGCTTTTCTGCCTGTAAGTGAACCTTCTATCTTTCATCATGAAGGGAGTCCATCTTTATTCTGTCTGAGAGTAACCATTCTATAATCATCTTTACACCTCTTTACCCTTAGTTCTTATATGTCCCAGGGCTTTTGTGCTAATTCACAGATATGCACCATAAGATTACTACAACACTGTATACAGCACAAAACAGTCTCTGTTAGGTTTTCAGTGATATGGATTGTGGGGTTAAAAAAAAGTAGCTGAAATGAACTAAAGTAATGCTTTTATTGTGACTGATAAGCAACCTCAAAAGTATACTCTCCTGGGAAAATGATAAAGATATGAGTAGAGACGGATTTTACCCCTTCATCCTGTGAAAGGGGATTATTGATCATCAAGTCTTGCTGGCCAACAACCTTCCTTGGGTTGGTGATATGCTGCAAAGGAAAGAAGAAAAGAGCATACACACAAGGGTCAGTGACCGCTGGACTTAAGTAGCACAATGAAGAATCCATTACACTAAAAAAACAAACAAACAAAAAACAAAACCAAAAAAACTCGACTTACAATTTCTTTAACGCTGCTATACCATGCTCTTAATTCTTTAATTCTACTGATCCACTGACTTTTATCTTGAGGAAGAACACAAAGAAATAGCTGCCAAGTGGAAAAAAATAAATAAATAACAACAAAAGAGAAAACTGTTGAAAAAAGCAGCAGTAAAACGTCAAACAGCGATCCCGGCCAAAGGACAGCGACCGGCCCAGCAGTCCATAGGCCCCCCACCATCCAGGTGGGTTGGAGGAGCCCAGCCGAGACCCGCCCCTGACCCCAGCCGCGCACGCCACCCACCAATCCCCGCCAAAGGACAGCGCAGAGGCCCAGCTGTGTGTCCAGCTCCAGTACCGGCCCAGCAGTCCATCGCCTCCCCCCCCCAACCCCATCCAGGATCCTGGGTGGGAGTGGCCTGGGACTGGCTAGGGGCATGGCCTCCCCAAAGTGGGCGTGGCCTTCTTCCTGGCGGCGAACAGAAACTTTCTCAAAGAAGAAATCCGAATGGCAAAAAAGCACATGAGAAAATGCTCTACATCATTAATCATCAGGGAGATGCAGATCAAAACCACAATGAGATACCATCTCACACCTCAGAGACTGGCCCACATTCAAAAGAACAAAAGCAACCGATGCTGGCGCGGATGTGGCGAGAAAGGGACACTCCTTCACTGTTGGTGGGAATGTCGACTGGTTCAGCCCTTCTGGAAAACAGTATGGACGTTCCTCAAAAAATTAGAAATTGAGCTCCCATTTGACCCAGCGATACCACTCCTGGGAATATATCCCAGAGAGGCAAAAATGTGTAGTTGAAGTGACATCTGCACTTGTTTGTTCATTGCAGCACTCTTTACAGTAGCCAGAAACTGGAAGAAACCTGAATGCCCAAGAACAGATGACTGGTTAAAGAAACTTTGGTACATCTACACAATGGAGTACTATGTAGCTGTTAGAAAAGATGAAGTCATGAAATTTACATACAAGTGGTACAACATGGAAAGTATCATGCTAAGTGAAATGAGTCAGAAAGAGAGGGATAGACATAGAAAGATTGCATTCATCTGGGGGATATAAAATAACAAAATATGAGATTAATACCCAAGAATAGCTGAGATCAACACCAGGAGGATTACTCCATAGCTTAGAGGCCAGCCGGGTATTCTAGGGGAAAGGACAGTTCAGATAGAGAAGGGAGCACCAAATGGAGGGTGTTTGGAGGATCCTCTCAGGAGGGGAGATGCAGGTTGAAAGTAGACTGGACTGAACATGTTTGCCACTCAATGCCTCTTTTGCTGATCACAACACCCAAAAGGAGAGAGAGAACAAAAGGGAATGCCCTGCCACAGTGGCAGGGGGGGAAGGGGGGGATGGGGGGGAGGGATATTATCCATGGTGGTGGAAAATGGGCACTGGTGGAGGGATGGGTATTTGATCATGGTATGACCGAAATCCAAGCACAAAAATTTGTAAATCTACAACTGTACCTCATGGTGTTTCACTAATAAAAAATAAATTAAAAAAAACAAAAAACAAAAAACATCAAACAGCATCAATCCAAACTCGAAAGGGGTAGTTAGACTAATGGCATTTAATATTTAGATAACAATTCTAGTCTTTAGTAATGTATATATTCAAGAATATTTAAGAAATAGATTGGGGGGATACTGGACGATCCAAAAAGCCATCATGGATAGATAAAAGCAGGAGACCCCAAAGCTATAAAACGAAACCAACCTTTCCTCTAGATTTACACTAAAAATGAGTTAGATTCATTGGGATTCTAGGATGATCCCTATTGTATAGTCTTCTATAAATGCAGTGACAGACATAGAACACAATTAGTCATAGGAACGTTCACAGTTTGTCTCTAAAGAAGCTTGTGAGGGACAGAGAAGAACAATTTGAGGACATAGCCTGAAAAAGTAAAGTCATTCCTTTCCTAACAGGGAACTAATTTACAACTGGCAATCAACTTAGGAAAATAACAAGCATTCTTAAAAAGACAAATTTGATTTAATTTAGTTTGCCACCACAATAAAATAAATCTGGATTTGAGTTTATTTTTAGCAAGTGAAGAACACTAAAAGTTAAACAACAAGGAATGGGGGACGGGGGCACAAATCTCTGTCCACAAATATTCTAGCAGCAGGTCTCCTGACTTTACTGCCTGCATCGAAGAGAAGAAAAATGTATTTTAATTATTAAATCTAAATTATTAAATCTAAAACTGTCTAATACATCATGTGCCTCTTACTGTCTTCACTTGCAGACTCCATTTGTTCAATTTATGCAGATAAACCCTACAACCTTTCGATACAAGTAATTTTCAAAACGAGTCTGGAGCTAAATGAATTCATTTTAAGAGAACAAAAAGGGGCAATATTTCCAAGTAATTAAAAAGAAAGCTGTAGATTCTCAGTACTGGTTGTGGTAATCAATGGTCCTTTCTCTGGCAAGGAGACTGACCCAATTTCCTACCACTTGTCCTGCCAGCCCTTCACTTTGGGTTCCCGGGGGAAAAAAAAAGAAAACAAAAGATGCAACATCTCTTCCACCTGCTATCCGTAACGAACACCAGAAGAATGACTAAATAATGACATCTGATATAAGAGGAACCTGTGAAAGCTCATTCTCTTTTCCTCATGCCCAGCTTCAGGACTTCGGCAAAAAACTCTGGGGAAGGTAAAGGTGGTGGCTGAATTGTTTCTCATCAGCGGAGATGAAAAGACAGGCTTTCCAATGACCCTGTTACTAACACCAGTCTCTCAGGATGACGCTGGTTCAATCTGGTACGAAAATGTCCCATGAAGATAAACATGGATGCCCCCCAAAAATTGAGAGTGAAGAGTCGTGGAAAATTCATGATTCTCTGCATGGTTAATCTTCCAGGGCATCAGGTAATGTGTTGATACACTGCAACCACAAACTGTAAATAAATATTTTCTTCTTACCTTCCAGCAAATGCTGCGGAACCTGCTGCTTCTCAGCTGCCCATTAATCCCCTTCTGCCTTATTGTTGCCAAGTAATTGTTGTTTACAAATAGTTCTTCCCATTCTTTCCTATATGCAAGAAACCAAAGCATGGGGATCCTTTTGTTAAAATTCTTCTGCTTGAAGAGGAGTGCCACAGGAAATTAATTTGAAACAAGTCGAAGAAATGCAACTTTTAAAACGTATATATTTGGTTGTGTACTGTTTCTGAATGCATGGCTGTCTTTTTGGACAGAGTTCTGTAGATTTAATGAATATGTAGATCGCTATAATTACGCCAGCTACTGAAATTCATAATGTCTATGGAGGCTATTCCATTTCCTCTAAAATGTTGGTAGTGCAGTTCAGTGAATAAACAAGAAAAAAATGAAATGAATATTAATAGAAGTATATGGCTGCTTAAGCCATTGACAAAGGCATGCCGGCTCCAAAAATACACAACAAAAAATCTATCCTTGATTATAATGGCTTCTCACATGAAATATCTGTTTCAATGAACCCATTTCTCTTTAATGTCAGGCTGGGCAGTTAAATATAATAGAAGACCACTTTCTTTAACTTTTACTGCCATTTACTATTAAATTCTCTACAACTTCTTTCTACATGATCAGTTTTAAAATTTTAACAGGTGCAAGCAAATTTGAAAAAAAACATCAAAAAATTAAAAATCCTCACTGTAAAAACTGTTAAAGGCAAGCTTGAGTACCTTGCAGTACCTATGGCTGAGCAGATAAACAACTGAAATATGCCTCCCAGGCAAGCAGACACCAGGGGCCTAACACCTGTGCCTCATTAATATACAAGTAAATCTGCTCTACTGGGGAACAATTGGAAATTAATTGTCCCAAACCATTTACTGAGTTTGAATAAAGGAAGAAGACCTATATTCCCTGCATCTTAGGCAGGACTGAACATCAAGAGTCATTTGTCAACAGTTGAAGGCCACTGGTATAGTTTTGCCAAGTTGTTCTCAGAGTTCCTAAAACTTCAGGAAACTTAAAAATTTAAAGTCACTGTCAAAGTTAACACCCTGGTGGTTTTAGAGCTACTTCCTCCAAAGAGAGCACTGGGGGAATGGAGAGACAGCACAGCGGGTGGTGCTGGCCTGGCCTGCTGCTGACCGGGGTTCAATCCTCAACACTGCACGAGGCCTCTCAGGACCATCAGGAGTGAGCCCCGAGTACAGCTGGGAGTGCCTCTGTGCTTCTCAAAGCCAGACAGAAACAAAAAAGAGGAAGAGAGAGAGAGAGAGAGAGAGAGAGAGAGAGAGAGAGAGAGGAGAGGAGGGGGAGAGAGGGGAGAGAGAAGAGAAGGAAGAGGAAGAGAAGAGAAGAGAAGAGAAGAGAAGAGAAGAGAAGAGAAGAGAAGAGAAGAGAAGAGAAGATAGGAGAGAGAAGAGAATAGAAGAAAACAGAATAGAAGAGAATAGAAGAGAACAGAAGGGAAGGGAGAGAGAAGAAAAGAAAGGGGAGAGAGGAGAGAAAGGAGATGAGAGCGAGAGAGCAAGAGTGAGAGAAAGAGAGAGAAAGAGAGAGAAATAGAGAGGAGAGGAGGGGGAGAGAGAAGGGAGAAACCAGGGAAGAGAGAAGAGAAGAGAAGAGAAGAGAAGAGAAGAGAAGAGAAGAGAAGAGAAGAGAAGAGAAGAGAGAAGAGAATAGAGCAGAATAGAAGAGAACAGAAGAGAACAGAAGAGAAGGGAGAGAGAGAGAAGAAAAGGAAAGGGAGAGAGGAGAGAAAGGAGATGAGAGCGAGAGTGAGAGCGAGAGAGCGAGCGAGCGAGAGAGCGCCTTTAAGTTTCCAGTGGCCAGACCTCCAGTCTTGCCCTTGCCCTCTCTGCCATCTTGGAACCAAGGGTCTGATCAACAATTCAAAGTTGCAAACCCTCTTTCCAGAGCACGCTGGAAACGGTACATTCTCCACAGAGCTCCCCTGAAGAGGGAGAGCAGTAGTCCTGCCCCAGCTGTCCCAGGCAAAACTGCCACCTTGCCTAGAGCACTTACCCCCCAGCCAGCCAGCAGGGCCTCTGGCTAACACCCCGTGAGCAACTGCACTCCTGACTCCACACGGAAGAAATGAATTTCTACGGCCACTCCAAAAACATTTCCAAACAAATATTTCATTTCGATCTATATCATTAGTGAATTTTTTCCCCCTTAGCTCTTGATTCTTTTCATTTCTTCTTCCTTTAAAAAGCCCTTTCTTGTCCTTCCTTTGCTAATTTCAGCAGTAGAGGGAGGTGGTTGAGGGGACAGACATCGGAGCCCCAGTACTGGGACCACATAGGCCATACACGAAAACCCACACACGCTAGACCGGTGGACTGGCTGGCTGATTACTCAAGCAGCACGTCTGGAAAATTCCCTACAGCCTGTTTCCTTTCCTCGTACACAAGGTGAAATTGCGATATTAACAGCATTTACCTCAAAACTTGTTATGAGACTTAAAATCCATCCAACAAGGCCCCAAAAGGGTCCTCAGCACATTATATAACATTTTAGAATGGTAATCTTTTTTTTTTCTTTTTGGGGTCACACCCAGCGATGCACAGGAGTTACTCTTGGTTCATGCACTCAGGAATTACTCCTGGCAGTGCTCGGGGAACCATATGGGATGCTGGGGATCGAACCTAGGTCGGCTGCGTGCAAGGCAAGCGCCCTACCCACTGTGCCATCTCTCCAGCCCCCTAGAATGGTAATCTTTTTGAGCTGGAGTGGTAACACAACGGGTAGGGTGTTAAACTTGCACACGGCTGACACGGGTTCAATTCTTCCACCCCTCTTGGAGAGCCGGCAAACTACTATTCCGCCCGCATGGCAAAGCCTGGCAAATTATCTGTGATAAAGCTACCCAGGATGTATTTGATATGCCAAAAACAGTAACAAGTCTCACGATGGAGACGTTACTGGTGCCCGCTCGAGTAAATCAACGAACAATGGGAGGACAGTGCTACAGTGCTAATCTTCTTGATAACAAATGCTGCTTTATTTTAGTGGACTTTATTGGTCCTAGAATGAAGTCTTTCATATATCAGAGTCACACCTTTGTCTGCCATATTTGGGATTTTTTCTGAAAACCCAATTGTGATTTTCGACACACCGAAACTTTGTGTGGAATTTAAAACTTAGTTTCATTTTTTCCTTGATGTCCTTTTCATGCTAATGCAATTTTCAGGCATTCCATCTGCACGCCTGTAACACCTCAGCTACTTTTCCCAAATTTCATATATTAGCCTCACCTCATGACATTCAAGTTTTCTTTTTTAGAAATACGCAAAGACAATGTCAGAGAGGATTTCATGAGAACACGAGAGGATTTCACGAGAACTCAGAAACTACGTTAAAAAGTTTGTGATATGCGAAGAAAAAAACCTTGACTTCAAATGTACCCTCAACACACAGGGACTTGCCACTGATGAGAAACCAAGTGGTCCCCAAGTCCTGATGTGCTCTATGTAAAGATGAACCCCACCCCCGGCCTCCTGCCAAATCAGCCCCTGTTTGCAGGTATCAGGCTAGCGAGAGAGGAGCCGCAGCTGGTGGCTAGATGCACTGCCATCTTGTCAAGTTAAGCAGCCTTTTAAGGTCAAGTTACATACTACTTCTGTAATGAAGGATAATTATTTGTTAGCTTAAATAAGACCCTGTGTCTTGATTACAGAGTTGGAGAAGAGAAAAAGGAGACCCAGGCCTGTGAAATGGAAACATTCTCTCAGAAATTCACAATCATCTAAATTTATTCACGGGTACTTAAAGTTCCACTTAAGGCAGAACTTCTCCAAACTGATGAAGAGCTCTAACAACAGAGGTGCAGGGAGGTCTCAAAGGGATCTGTTGTCTTTCTCTTCTAGGGAACAGTGTTCCGCTAAAGCACCGGGTTGCAGAGTAAACACATAGCCAATATTTAGTGCCAACTATGTGCTCAGTGTTTTTCAAAAGCAAGAAATTATGATGGCTGTGTCAAGCTACGGCACATCAATGCAAAGTGTTCTTTTATTGGGCAGGGAGGGCAGGGGAGTTAATACTCTGGCAATGGCCTTCATCTGGGATCACAGTTCTCTTTCCTTCCCCTGCCCCATCCTCCCTTCACTTTGCTGCTGTTGTTCTTGTGATGCCCAGCTGTGGTATCTGCATCCCTGGGTCAAAGTGCTCACACAGTCAGCTTCGGTGCTCACTGAGGTCGAATATGAAATGACCCGGGAGTAGGCATCGGGGAGAACTCACGCCTGAAACTAAAAACTCAGCGTAGGGAATACAAAACATTCATCCCTTGTAGGAACTGAAAGGTGAACTCCCCACGAACCAAGCTGTCAGAGGTTTGCAAAAGCATAGGAAAGCCTTGGAGAGGGCACCGGATCCCAGAGCCAGCTCCTTCACTCTCACATGAGGACTAGTCCCGAGTCTGGGTGGAAACACGGGAAAAGAGCAATGAGCCCTGATGACACAGCGGTGGATTTCTGTCAGTTTAGTTAACAAAAATTAAAGTCAAATGCACAAGTATACAGAGATACAAGTAGAAAGTTATGTAGATATATTGTTATGAAGGCCAAAAAAGCAGGGAAAGATGCTATTAAAATGCTTATTAAAAACTTCTATGTAATATTCTAATCACTTTATTTTTTTTTGTGGGGCTGGAGCGATAGCACAGCAGTAGGGCGTTTGCCTTGCACATAGCCAGCCCGACTGACCCGGGTTCAATTCCTCTGCCCTTCTTGGAGAACCCGGCAAGCTACCGAGAGTATCTCACCCGCACGGCAAAGCCTGGCAAGCTACTCATGACGTATCCAATATGCCAAACACAGTAACAAGTCCCACAATGGAGGCGTTACTGGACCCGCTCGAGCAAATCGATGAACAATGGGAGGACCGTGACAGTGACAGTTGTTTGTGTTGTGTGCCACATTCAGTGATGCTCTGGGGTCGCTCCCAGAGGCGGTGCTGGCGATCAAGCCTCGTTCGCTACTCACTGTCTCTGTGGCCTCTGAGATAAATCCCTTCTAATCTCTATGACGCCACTCCTAGGGTGCTTCAAGGAAAGTAAGACCCAGGAAAAGAAGCTCTGCAGCGGGTAAA